CAGTCCCCACCCCCGTCTTTGTCCCATTGCTGACCCCAGTGCCACTCCCAGTGTTGGTTCCCGGTGCCAGTCCTGATCCCAGGCCCATTCCCGGTCCCAGTGCCACTCCCAGTCCTAGTTCCTGATCCTAGTCCCAATTCCCAGTCCCAGTGCTGGTTCCCGATGCCAGTCTTAGCCCCAGTTCCCATCCCTGTCCCAATCCCTGTGATGGTCCCAGCAGTCCCAGTAGGGGTGGCCCAGGGCACGTTCCAGCACTCCCAGCCTCGCCCCCCCCCAACTCATGACTCTTTGCAGATGAAGGCGATGCCAAGGTGACCCTGGATCTGCCCCCAGCGTTGACAGCAGATGCTCCAGAGGAATAACCCCAAACCTGCCAGTTTGTCTGAAAATAACAGAGCCCTCACAACCCTTGAGGGCTCCTGGAGCTCCTGGGGCAGGGCTGGGGGAGGCTCTCAGATCTGTATTTATTAAAACACAACAATTCAACTCAACATGCTTCAGCTCATTGTATTGACGAGCTCAGCCTGCCCTGGGCTCTCCCAGTGATCCACCCACCCCCAGGAGCCATTCCCAGCGGGATGAGGCAGCTCCTGGCACCTTCCAGCCCTGCTCAGGGTGCCCATGTCCCCAAACCATTCCCAGGGGGAATGTCAGGAGCATCTTTGGTCCCTTGGGTTCACACAGAGAACAGCCACAGGCAGGGCTGACCCTGCAGGGCTGGAGCTGATCCAGATCTAGCTCCTCTTCCTCCAGGAATTCTGGAGGGAAGCAGCCTGGATCCATCTCCCCATGGCTCCAGAGCCCATCCCTGCCCACAGAGCAGCTCCAGAGCTCCTGGACATGACATTTGTGCTTGATGACAGCGTTAGTGGAGGTTGTTGGGGGTCCTGGGGGGGTTTAAGGCTGTGACATTCCAGGGGGGATTCCCAAAGGAGACCCTTGTCCTGTGGCTCTGGGCTGTGACATCCCTGGAGCACCAGGCAGGGATGGTCCCACCCTGTCCTGGCTCCGTGGGGTCCTGTCAGTCACGAGGTCACTGAAAACACTTGGGATAGGGATACAAAACCCACCACAGTGATGAGGTCTGAGGGCCCCAGGCTGGGAATTCTCAGCTGGTGTAGGGAGAACTTTGGGATTGGATTTTGTACATTCGCAGGTCAGGATGGAAAATAACACAAAACCCCCCAAAATATCCCAAAGGGATGAATTCCTGTCCAGGAGCCTGAACTCACCCAAGGAGGCTCTTCCCTTCCTCAAACAAATTCCCAGGGTGGAGCAGGGATGTCTCTGGATGTGGGACAGGGTGGGGAGGGCTGGGAAGAGCACATGGAACATGGGAAGAGGTAGGTGTGCGTGAGCCAAGCCCCTGGATCCACCCAGATCTGTTCCCAAATTAGTCATCTGTGGTGGAAAATCCAAGTTGGATTGGGAGGGGGTGGAGGGAGCTAATGCACTTTGGAGAGAAGTGGAGCTGGAGAGCTCAGAGAGGAGCTGAGCTCCGTGTGATCCCAGTGTGGCCAAGGAATCCGATCCCTGGGAGTGAGGCAGCACAACAGCAGGAGTTGTGCCTGGTTAAGGCAGCGATTGCACACACGATTCCTCAACCACCACTGTCCTGAGCACACGAGGCTCTGCTTCCAATCCATCGCAGGAATGTTGGCTCTGCTGCTCCTCAGCTCATGGCTCCTCTGGGATATAGCCCTTCCCAGGGTGTGCAGGCCCTGGTCCCCTCAGCAGAGGCAGGGATGGAGCCCCTCTGGCTCTGAGAGGAGTTGGGAGATGCTGGAGAAGGCAGTTTGATAGGAATGAGATGCTGGAAAAGGCCCTTGGAAGTGGCAGCCTGGCAGGGAGCCGAGGGGGATGGAGCTCTGG